TAGCTGCTTCAGTCACATGTTAGTTTGAAGGTTTTTGTTTCTTTAAATGGAGAAAATAAAAACTGTGAGGTTAAAGTCGCGGTGAGAGGCGGAGCTCAGAGTGGTTTCCCTGAAATATGGAACGCTAGAATAAATTACACACCTGTGTCATTATAATCAAAGTAACACGAGGTATAAAACCCCAAAATCGAAACTTTGTTTCCTGTAAAAGAGAAAAAACAGACATAACACACCTCTGTAAACAGGTGTGGCCCCCTGGTGTCCGTTTTAGAAAGTGCAGGTTTCAGGTGGTCATTTTCAGCCCCGCGAGCTGCGTCCAAGACAACGCCTCACACTGAGCCGTGACGCACGCGTGACCATGAGTGTGTGGACGAGCTCGTGTCGCTCCGCTAACACTCTCCCCTGCTCTGCCTCCCTGTCTCTCATTGGTCCAGGTGGTGGAGTTCGACGAGCCGTCCAAGCTGCTGGCCAATGAGAACTCGCGGCTGTGTTCGATGCTGGCGGCCGTGGAGAACAAGATCTCGGTGCGAGGATGAGGACGAAGAAGCTGCTGTACTGTAACCGACCTCAGGGTGGCGCTCGCAGGAGTCGCTCTGACTTACTGTTGCTTTTTTGCGACGTTCTTCTCTCGAATCATGTGACCGTCGTTTTTATGACCTGATGCGAAGCAGGTCCGTGCTCACTGAAGTGCTTCAAACATCTGTCACATGTTGTCTGGTGGGCGGGGCTAAAGGACGCTGTACTTTAATCTTCTTTGTCGTTTTTATCGATGTTGTTTCGCCTCGACTGCGGTTTCCTTCGATCCAGAAGCTGATCAGCTGTTTATGAATTTGTTGAGAATGTAAAGAGGACTGTTTTTATTCTGACACACGTGAGCTTCTCTACATTTTTATAGTCTCTTTTTTGCACGTTTGTGTAGATTTGATTGTTAGTTCGTAAGTGAAGCCTGTGCTGCCCTCTAGAGGAGAAGCACAGTAAGTACATATTAGTCCGGTTGGACTGTTAATGATTCTGTAACTTGTTTGATATCAGTGAAAAATGACGCTTTTAATCTCATAGCGCAGCCGCTTTGTGTTTGTGTAGCGGCTGCGCTCAGGCTTCGTGTTGGTGGCTCTGTGATTAGACATCATGACATTTACTGCAGACCACGCAGGAAGCGCCCACGCACATGAAAACAGCGATTTATTAATCCTGATGTTTCCTCCGTTTATGGAGTTTCTTTTTCTCTTAAACTTGTTTAATGTGAAAGGAGAAAGCGATGCTGACTGCAGGGCTCGAGCTCGGGCTGTGCACATGTCAGCGTGTCTCTGTAGCTGTTCCTATAAATAAACTACTGACTTTAACTCCACCTGTCCTCCTTACTTCCTGTCGTGTGGTCACTGCTCGATGTTTGTAACGAGTTAAAGCTCCTCTGGAAACTTACCTCACAACTTTCTACTCTTGGATCTGGATATTGTCACAAAGAGGCTCCACCCACAGACCTTCTGTTTATGAGCAGCAGCCAGTCAGAGCAACACTGTCTTGAAGGGGGCGGAGCTGAATCAGCTTCTTTTAAACCACAGATGA